TTTTTTTGGGGGCTTTGTTTGTTTGTTTTTAATTTATTATATAAATAACATCTGTGACAGAGAATAAAAACTGGTTTCATCCCTAAAGAGTTTTGCAATCCTGGGATGTAAGAAGCATAATTTAGAGTTTTAAAGTGTTATTTGATTCAAGTCAGGTACTTGAACTTGGGTTTTTTAAATCTTAAATAAATATTTCTTTATTACAAGAGTGTTTAATTGTTTTAGGATAATAGTCCCTGTCTTATTTGAAAAATTTTTCTAAGCATATCTGGAAAGTAACTATTTTTCTTCCAATGCTAAAAGAGGGAAAAAAAAAATCTCAAACACTTAGAAGTATCTCAATAAGCAATATTCCTTTCTGGCAAATTCCAAAAACAAAAACAGATTTCTTTTTTTTTGTTGTTTTAAATTTCTACTGTGATTATCAATAACTTCCTCTGTATACAGTGTTTTAATTTTTAATGTCAATTACAAAAAAAAAATAGTACAGAACATAATTAAAGAAAACAAATTTTGTTCTGTTACAATTAGAGTTCAAATTGAGATAACATTCCCCTAGGCACTAAAAATAAAAATTGTCATTTTTGTTTTTGGATTTGGGCATAAGCACCCTCTGAGAGAATTCAGCCTAGCAACTCACATTTTTCTGAACTTGGAGTAGGCTAAATGTTTAAGGATTTCTGTTTTCTGGGAAAATTCTCTTATATGAGACTCAAGCAAAGCAGAATTCTGTCTAAAATTACAATAATTATATATAAGGAAGATATATAGCATTTAAAATCCCTCACATCTTGTCATTAACACCTTAATTATCCAAGAAGGATTTTTTAAGGCTTTCATATAGCAGTGTAAGCCATATGATGAGGCTATTTTAATGCTGTAATATTTGCATTACAGTGAAATGTAGAGGTCTTTATCTTGTGCTAGTCCCTTCATGGTTATACACTCAAAAGATAATCTGTGTCCTAAAGTTTCTGTAAAATAGATGTCAAACAGAGGGTTCAGGCATGTACTTAAAAGTAAAAAACTTAAAATCAGCTTGATGCTTTAGCTTGTGCACTAACAATATTTTATCATTGAGCAAATTTGTAATTTCTGCTACAAAAACCCCAAACCAAGCACTTTCCCATGGCCAGCAAGATAAAATTTCAGTCCCTTAACAAAACAACCTGCCTCTAAGAGCAGTTCAGCATTTTGAGGAGGAAAACGACATTTTTCACCTCATCTACTGCACCACACAAAGAGAAACAACTGGGATGATTTATATCAGCTTTTCTTGCTGTCATGAATAAATAACTCTGTGTATTCCAGAGAGGAACGTATCCAAGCCTATAGATGATAAAAACATCAAATTCAGCTGAAAATCCTGTTTTCCTAGTTGTGTTAGTTTTGCTGTGGGTTTAGACACACTGGCCTTGTTGGCCAGTTTGTGTTTTCATGTTAGAGTAGCAGATGTAAAATTTAAAACACCCCACCTGAAGATTTGATGGAAAGTGGACTTTAAATATCTTACCTGGAAGACATCACTTCAGAAGCCAAAAGGGACTAACTCTGCAGGGACACAGGGCTCACCAAATTATAGAAACTCTATGCCATACCCAGCAAACAGCAGCACCTGCTTCAGCCAGTGGTTCCCAACGGGGCTCTTTGGATATTATATTTATAATTCCATCTCCTTTGCAGCAGCCAAAATGCAAAGTACGTGTTTTTGTGATATTAATTTTCCCCACAAGAAGTTTTTCACTCTCAGAGGTCTTGGCATCAAGCTACAAGCATCTACAGAAATGGAGATGAAATGTAAAGTGATGCATTTGACCAGTGACCTACAGAACTCTGAAAACTTTTAGCCTAAGCAATTCAAAATCAGTCCTCTACCACATTCACTGAAAAGAAGTACATTTCTTTGGTTAATTATTTCTTTTCTTTATGCCCATTAGAAGCCTACTGTTTTCACAGCAGAGCCTTACACATGTAAACAAAGTTTATTCACTTGTCACTCGAACAGCACAGATTTCACTCATTTTTGGCCACCAGACCTGAAACTCACATGTAATCTTCTGCTCACTGGAGAGATGAACTATTTCCTCTGCACCCTTAACCTTACACAGATGGGTAATGAAGGTGAAACCACTCCAGAACAGACAGATTTGGGAATGGAAGGAACAGAAAGTGACAATTGTACAAGTTGCAGGTAAGGACAGCCAACATTCAAAGAAAGCAAGGCAATTTAAAGTGGCATTACTACAACATCTACCACAAACTTCTATGTACAAGGCCATATCTAGGCAAATAATTAATTAAAAATGTATTTATGGTCACTTTGCAGCATTTCTTCTAGCAAGTGATTCTTACCCTCAAGCTACATGCTAATCAAAACTTTTCAACAAGCTGGTCCATGAAAGTATTCACTACAACTTGAAATGGTGTTGCTTAGACAGGTGAGCAACTTTTGCTGTGAAGTTTCCTGTGGGTGTTGATGTAGAAGAAATTTGATATTCATTCTACATGTGTGAAGAAATTAAAAAATCTCTGTGTATGCCCTTTAAAATGAAAATGCAGCAGTAATAATAGAATACTGATAGAAAAGTGGACATTCAGGAGTTCCTTCCATTATAATTTTTTCAGTTCCACTTACTTCTAGGAAGAGCTGAAGAAAAATAGTCTTTCAGAAAATAAATATTCACATTGTTTAATTTTCAATTAAACTTAATTTCTCTAATGCTCTAAGTTATATGCATACCAAATACACACAACAAATCATCTCAGTCATCTCAATGTATTTTTTTTTGTTTTACTAAAAGAAATAAAAGTCCCAGGCAGTACATTCTTTAACATGTGCAATAGCCTAATTTGGTCATCATATCTGCTGTTTAGGCAAGGGATGTGTTTATGTAGTTAAAATAATGAGAACAGAGACCTGGATTCTGTTCTTCCCTTTTGCAGAGGGTATGAAATAAGAATTTGGAAAACTCACATCTCAAGTATAACATTTAGTACCACAGCATTTGATTTTTAACAAGCTGCCATATCCTCAGTAATGATGCTAAGGTTCCTGTAAGTTCTCTGTCTTGTTGCAGTTGTTTCAATGCATATGAAATAGCAAAATATCAATTTGTGCCTTTTGCACTAATATTGGCTCAAGCCTAGTGGTCTCAGCATCCTGCTATTTCAAAAGCAAATGTTAAAACAGCCCAAAAAAGTCAGACTAAAGTTCTTTTAGACATTTTAATAACTTTTGCCTTGTGAGCAAGCAATAGCAGAGCAGGACAAGGGGGAATGGCTTCAAACTGAAAGATAGTAGGGTTAGATAAGATATCAAGAAAAAATTCTTTACCCCAGGGGTGGTGAGGCACTGGCACAGGTTGCCAGAGAAGCTGTGGATGTCTCATCCCTGGAAGTGTTCAAAGCCAGACTGGAAGGGATCTGAGCAACCTGGGATAGTGGAAGTGCCTCTGCCCAAGGCAGAGGGTTGGAAATGGATGATCTTTAAAGTCCCTTCCAACCCAGGCCATTCTGTGATTCTGTGAAAAAACCTCCACAAAGCAAAACAGATGACATGTCCTGGATATCCTCTGATCATACCTCCAGCCCTGAGCAACTTTTAAGCAGGGACTTTAGAGCCCAGTTGCATCTGCCTGTTAATTTTTAAATCACTTTTCCTACAGTAAGAATTTCCACCAGCTCTAACAAACATACATTCAAATACATCACCTGCCTGTTCTTCTGAGCTCATGGAAATCTCTTGTACCTGGAATACCCCCTGGCAAGCACACTGCAGCAGTGCTTTATTGAATGAATTCTATAATTCACAACAGCTCCATCAGAAGAGGGTAAAAATAGCAGAATAAGTATACTAAAGTTATATAAACCAAATAAAATAAACATGAACAGAACAAGTATAAAAAGAACCTGGATGTTAAATCTCTTATTTCAGTGGATTAAGTAAACCTTTGCACAGATGTATTTGGGGTTTGCTCAGAACCAAACAGACATTAGAGAGCACTTGAGGAACCTCAAAAAAAGAAAAAAGAGGTACAGCAGACACAGGGAGCCTTTTCAGGGGGGTAAGCCCTTTCTACCTCCCCTTCCACATCTCTACTGTTTTGCTATTTCATATTTGCCCTTTCCACAGGTGTTCTTCAAGTCTTAGCCTAACACCGTGCACCACACAAGTCCAAATTTAAATTCAATAAAAACATTCTCAGGCACAAAAAGACAAGACCACATAAGTTTTTTACAATATTAGAGCTTTGGGGAGACTTAGATGAGAGTTTCAAAACCTGGGCTGAAGAACAGACAAGTGCAAACACTTTTTTTTTTTTTATTAATAGCAAGTTAATATTTTTTTTAATAGCAAGTTAAGCCCCAGAATCACTTAAAAAAAAACCCAACAAAATGAACAAAAAAACCACCAAAAACCACCTTAGCTTCTTACACACACACACACAGGTAGAACACACACACACACATGCAAAACACACACACACACAAACCAAACACACACACACAC